AGTATGCCGTGGAGGAAGAAATGGATCGACCCCGAAGAGTATGAAGATAAGGAGGAGCTGGGACGCGTTTTGTCGAAGAGGGCGTATGAGGTTTGGGTTTCGGAAGTTAGTGAGTATATGCTTCCTTGTGGTTGAGCCCTGGAGTTTTGGTGATGAGACACGTGAACGCGGTGTCACGTGCTCTGTTCCCAATCGCGTCTTCTACTGGAGGCTCGAGGAAACGTTGGCTGATGATTGAATAGTGCTCCAACAGACTCGCGTGTCGACAGTAATACCGTATTTCAACAACTGGGTCGAGAAGTGGCCCACCGTTCAAGACCTTGCCGAAGCGAACCATGATGATGTGCTTTCCGTATGGAAAGGCCTGGGTTACTACTCGCGTGCAACGCGTCTACATGAAGGTGCAAAAGCTATGATTGCCAAATCTGCTGGTGCCTCATGTGCTCTTCCCAGTGGTGCTACGGAGCTACAGGAATTTCCCGGCATTGGAAGATATACTGCAGGCGCAGTGTCCAGTATCGCATTCGGTGAAGCAGAGCCCGTCCTCGACGGGAACGTGGCGCGCGTACTCAGTCGACAGCTGGGTTTGTACATGGATGTCAAAGACAAGAAGGCCACAGATGTTCTTTGGGATATGGCCGACCGACTAATCAAACACGCTTCAAACTTTCCGGAAACACGGACGAGTGAGGTGCCCGGGTTGTGGAATCAAGCGCTTATGGAACTCGGATCCACTTTGTGTACACCGCGACCCAGGTGTGACGAGTGTCCTATCCAGTCGACATGCAGGGCTTATAGCGAAGGAAAGGCGTTATCTGACAAGCGCCAGTCAGCGGTTGTAGTGCCTGACATTGAGGATGCTTGCTCTCTTTGTGCGCCGTTGGATACCGAAGACTTGGTTGCAGTTTCTGAAGACGCAGCGAACGATGAGCCGCCACGAGCGAACAAGAAGAGAAAGGCCGCTACAAAACAAACCAACACTATCTCGCAGTACTTCGCCGTTGGAACGCCAAAGTCAAACGTAGAAACGGAAGACGATGATGAGGATCTGGATAGCCCACCCGTCGAGGATTCCAAGAAGCGGAAGCTACCGGCACCTACTGGAGAGTCCAAGTCGATATCCACGTACTGCTCACTATTCCCGAAGAAAGTGGCGAAGAAGAAGGCTGCCGAAGAAGACTGTGTGGTGTGTATGGTAGAGTTGCGCTCGGAAGACGGCAGCAGTAAATGGCTGATCGAGCAGAGGCCCGCTAAAGGTAAGCTTTGCACTACGATGCTAAGACACTGCTGACGATCGCGTGAAGGTCTCCTCGCATCACTGTGGTACGTAATAAACGCAAGCTATCATCGCGCCACTGCTGGATAGCTTCTCGGGTACTGCCCAACGCGCATTGTCGTGCAGCATCATATCATGTCTCATGATAGGCCCATTGCTCGGCTCTTCTTATCTAGCACAGGGGCGTACGCTGACTGTGGCACAGGCAATTCCCGCAGAACACGCTGACTGCATCACAAAAGACGCCCCAGCAGCGCAAAACGTCAGCGCAGCAATACATTTCTGATCTTGATGCCGGCGCCGCTGACATGAGCAAAGCGCGTTATATTGCCAGTTTTCCGCCATTGGTCCATGTCTTCAGCCATTTAAGGCTTACCATGCATACCTATCAGTACAGGATCGACGCCGATAAGACCGGAGATATCGAGCTTACATGCAAGGGCCCGCCCACCCGCAAGTGGGTAGACAGCAAAGCCATGGACAACGAGACCTTGTCTACGGGAATGCGCAAGTGCTGGGACCTCGTTTCCGAAAGCCTCTGATGATGGTGTCGCGAGGCACTTGCGATGGGTGAGTTGAGACTGGTTCCACGTGCGCGGTACCCCACGTCCCGTTATCTCCCGCCAAGCGATACACATGGCTGGCTTCCGCTTTCCGCCTCCTTGGCCATCTCCACTCCTCCCTAGTGTCCTGGGGAAGTGGAACGATAAGGAACTCTGAATGTCTCTCACTATACCAATCACGGCGAATAATTCCTTCCCATGGCAGTGGTTCTGCTAGCGGGGTTTTGGTTGGCTGGAAAGAACGCGTTGCATATCATGTTATCCTGGGAAAAAGATGGCGCGCTCGTGCAACCGAGATGTGTGTAGGGAAGAGATCGCTGGATATAAACGTGGTAGATCCCCGAGGATTCGGTACTGTGAATTGCTCCGAGTATACGACTTTTGGTACTTTACTGTACAAACATATCGTCAATATGGCGGCTATTCCAGCCCCGACACCCATCACAGAATGGCCAGACTACGCTGTCGATCCCAATGGAGGAGATGTCATGACAACTGATCTCAATGCCCTCTATGACAAGGGCGATCTGTGTTGGATGCTGGTCAGCACAGTTCTATGTTGGTATGCAACACTTCCACATTCGTTTGAAACGAAACATACTGATTGCAATCAGGCAAATCACACCCGCCATCGGCTTCCTCTACGCAGGCATGCATCGCCGAAAGGCAGCTCTGACCATGATCTTTCAATCTCTCTTCTGCGCCTGCGCCGTCGGCATCCAATTCTGGGTATACGGCTACTCTCTCTACCAGTCGCATACGACCAACCCTTTCCTGGGAGATTTGTCAAAAGCAGGTCTACACAACACACTCGCTTCACCGTCGCTCGCGAACGCCGATATTCCTGATTTACTCTATGCTGCGTTTGGGTTCACTTTCGTTACCTGCACCGCGATGATCTTGGCAGGAGCAATGCTTGAGCGAGGACGCTTGTTTCCTTCGATGCTCTTCCTGCTTTGCTGGACTACGTTTGTATACTACGTGCTAGCACACGCGGAGTGGAACCCTAGTGGCTGGCTCTACCAGCTTGGTGTTCTTGACTTCGCCGGCTCTGGTCCTGTGCACATTGCGTCTGGTTTTTCTGCTCTGGCTTGGGCAATCATGCTGGGGCCACGCGTTGATCCGCATAAAGAGTCGCATCACCCTAGGATACCGCACTTCAAGCCTCACTCTCCGTTTCTTGTTGGACTTGGCACGATATTGATCTGGTTTGGATGGTTTGCTTTCAATGGTGTGTGAAGGCTATATGCCGAGAGATTGAAGCAGTGTACTGACAATTTATAGGCGCCTCGACGGCCAACCTCTCCCTACGCTCCATCTACATCGTCTGCAACACCAACCTCGCAGCCTCCGGTGGCGGCATAGCCTGGGTACTCCTTGAATACATGTTTACGCGCAGATTCTCTATCATCGGATTTTGTTCTGGAATCATCTCCGGTCTCGTCGGTATCACACCAGCCTGTGGATTCGTGCCTGTGCAGACCGCAGCCCTGATCGGAGCCCTCACCTCCTGCGCATCCTTCTTCACAGTCCGCTACAAATACCTCCTCGGCATCGACGAGGGTCTCGACATCTTCGCCATCCACGGCGTCGGCGGTTACGTCGGCGACATCATGACCGGTTTCTTCGCCGCACCCTACGTACCCGCCATGGACGGCGTAAGCAACACCTACGAAGGCGGCTGGTGGGCCCGGAACTGGAAACAGATGGGTTACCAGCTGGCTGCTGCGACTACATGCGCCGCATGGTCTTTTGTCGTCTCGATCATTTTGCTATTCATCATCAACAGGATTCCTGGTTGCCATATCCGCGCGACTGAGGATGATGAGCTGAGGGGTTTGGACTACAAGTATTTCAGCGATGCAGATGGGGATATGGAGGTTCTGACTGGATATGGCCCTACGACTCCGGGTCGAGCGGCATCGCAAGTCGCGAGCGGGTCTGAGAGTCATCAGGATGTGCCTGTTGCAACGGAGAAACGGGATTGAGGCGAGTGCGCCTGATGATGCCGTGCTGCACCGCTCGGGTGATTCGGCAACACATCGATCTTGCCGAATGTCTTGCCCGTTCTGCGACTGTACGTTTTGCAATTGGGTACGGCTCTGCAGACTCGTCCTCTTTTCTTCATGTATATTCCAGCTCTTGTTGTTTGTCTTTCTGCTTCTTGTTCTGTAATCGAGATACCATTATTTACCCGCTTACCATCTTACCGTTCTTACCGTTTCTGTCCCCTTCTCAACCCCAATTCGGGTAATTCGGGTGTCGCCACCTCACTCCCTGGATGTCTACAACCCTTTTGGCGGACCCTATTGAGTGGCTTCATCTGTGCCGATGTATCCAACACCGCGTTCGCCTCATGTGCCGCTGCGCCTTCAATCACATAAACATCGAGTGTCCAGCCCAAGCCCAACAATATGCACGCATTCAACATGAAAACAATCACGGCAATGGCCATCAACTTCCTCGTGGCAGCGTTTACGAACCCGCCGAATCCACTTATTACCCCACACCCGAAGCTCCCGGCCCAGCAGATATCATCCGGGAGTGATCCGGCGCTAGTTGGTTGGATCGACGCGACGGATGGACAGTGTAAGCTTCGCCTCTTCCTCATCCAGTAACCCGACACCACTAACTCAACTACAATGCAGTCTCTGACCTCCGCTTCTGCGAATACTCAGCCACCTTCTCAAACTCTCACACCTTGGCTCAATGCTGCACAACCGGCTCAGACTGCACCTTCTGGTTATCATGTGGCTCTCCAGTCCTTTTGGCTGGACCAACGAGTTTGTTCTGTGATCAGAAGTATTGCAATACGGCGGTTGTGGTGCCGACTGTGGGTGCGAGTGAGGTGTAAGTTTTCTGGGTTGTTGGGCGACGAGTTTGGGTAGAGAGACTTTCACTGTGGTGAGGGATATTAGGTATGGTATGTACACTGTATTTTGTCTGGTTCATGCGATGTAACGCTGATATGTTGGTAGCTGATGTCATGCAAAGTGTAGAGCACATTTTGGAGAGGTAATAGGATCGAGATTGATTACATCGCTATTACATGATGGACTCTATTCAACACACACACACACACACAAAAGCTTGTTCAAAGAGTGGATGAGAGTCTAACATCTGCTTGAGAACAAGAGAGCTGATCTTTCTACCATTTCTCATCACTTTCCATACTGTCGCGAGTTAGTCAGCCCTACTTTAGCGCTTATATTTTGGAAACTTACTATCGTGTACATCTCTCTAGACCTTGTAGTACGAAGCAATCGCATTGGCACTAGCCCCGTTGAAATTGTAGCACCTTCCCTGGGCGTAATCGAACGTCGTGGAGTCTACGTAGCCCGATCCGATGGCTCCGGAAGGGTTGCCGCAGCTGTCGGGCGCGAAGAAGTATGCGAATTGGTGGTTTCCTCCCCAGGTCGTGATCCTGAAGGATCCAAAGCCTTGTGGCCAGGCTGCACAGGTGTCGTCCCAGATGTTGACAGTTTGCTGGAAACTATTGCCGCCGCAGTTGCGATCACCGAAGGTATCGATGACGAAGGCGGTTCCACTGGCAGCGAGGGCGGCCATGATGGCAGTGGTGGAGGCGATGGAGAAACGCATTTTGGATGAGAGTGGAAGTTTGCGGAGTGAGAAGGTAGTCTTGAAGATAGTAGATGCGGTTGAAGGAACTGTTCGAGTTGGTGGATGATACAAGATTACCAGCGGAAGAAGGGATTTATATACTCAAATCGCTGAACTTACTTTCAGCTTCACTTTGATTACTCGGTGTGTCACTGCCTTCTTGCTTTCGTGGTCTTCGCCGACGGTGAGGTAGTGGTGGCTAGGGCTCACCGGCCTGAGGTCGTCCAATACTTCACCGACTCTTTCTCCAGCTCATACACGCTCATCTTCGACCTTATTTATATGGTTCGCGAGCCACGACGTGCCCAATCACCCGTTTCAAGTCGCTGTGTGCACCCATCTACGCGGGCTGTAGCGATTTTGGCCCCCTCAACTCGATTCTGATGATTTTCTTAAACCAATACTTCCATGCGGAGTGAAGATGACCATGCAATCATCAACAACGAGGATGATCTTGGGTATACGCCTACGTCGTTGGACGGCCAAGCTAATAGCACAATAGAGTTCGGGGCGGAATGGGCGGACAGCAGAATAAGGTTCGACCCGAAATGGGCGACGGTGGAATGTAGGCGTAGAGGGCCGCGCCATGCAATTAAGTCACTGTTTAAAAGGTCATCAGGCTACCTAGGTACTTCTGAGGGCTGTACGCCCTTACTCACCGCCCAAACGAGGGTAGAAGAGGAATTGCTACCAAATGCCTAAGTAATCAAGGACGAGATGGTGTTGGAAGCTACAACAGAGCACAGACACTAACCCAACACTGTTTGGAAACTACATTACGCTTTTAACATCGTGCTTACACCGTCTCGTCCTTGATTGGCTGGTAGCACTCTCTCCTCTACCCTATGTGGCGCGCTACGGTACTCCGGTGTACGATCTGGGGTAAATGAGTGACAGCAATGCCATTGTTAAGATGAGTAATTTTATTGCGCAAGTGGCAGCTGCGGGTACTGAGATATTTCCAAGCTCTCGCAGCCCGAGGACAGCGGAAGCCTGGAAATACCTGGGGGTTTGACGCAACACCACCCTTCTGTACTACAACGTTGCAAATAAATTCTAAGAACAACACAAAGTAGACTCTGCAAAGCTGCGAGTAGAACTGTGTTTTTGGACTCTTAATCAGAAGCGGTGTAGTCGAGGTAGAGGGCTACTTACCAGCTTGTGTCCGGCTTTCGCTGTCTCGCTAGAGCCAAGGTTCCTCAAGTGTCCAAGAAGCCAAGAAGCCTCTCGGCCGACGGGCACGTGACGTTGAATGAGCCCCTCCAGTCTCCTCCATCACTGATAACCACGATACCGCGACACGGGCGGCACATCGGCCATGAAAATCACTTTTGCTCCGCAGAACCTTGCATCGCGGCCATCCCTGCCGCATTTCGTCATTGCAAGGCGTGGGATCGCTGAAAATAGCGGGCGCTAGGCCGAACGCAAGTAGCGAGTTCCTCGATCCACGACTTTCGGGAGAATCTCGACCCACGGCGAAGGTGCAAGCGTCCCAAAATACACATGGCATATCTCCACCTCCGCCACCGATACAGCAACCCACAGTAAACCATGACCAACACGTCTCGTGGCCTCAGAGCTCGGATTCTCAAGCCGATCCGTCGCCGAGCAAAAAGAAAAGTCATCCTTCAATCTTTAACGTTTGGTCTCATCGCCCAAGCACAGTCAGACAGACAGCACACGTCTCTGTTCTGTTGGAAGGCCCGAGAGATGTAGACGCACCTGTCAGCGTTCCAAAGAACCGGGGCTACCCGGTTTGGCGGTTCAGAAACAGCACGTTGGCAGAAGAACGGTTCTCTGGTTCAGGAGCATGATAGCGCGCAGCTGGCAGAGGCCAGGGTCTCAGATCATTGTAGTCTCGATTGAACCCTGTGATTTCGCGCACTACGGACAACGATCTGACCACCACAAAAGCTAACATGACATAGTTTCTCAACATTGAGCTATGCAAATTTTCTCTCCTCAGCCACAACGATCCCGAGAGAGGGGCGCGTTGGACATGAGACCTTCAGCGACTGCATACTCTCCACTCCGGATAACATCTGCAGCACACGAGGTGTCAACGGTTGCAGCCTTATCCTATCTCTCACACCTGATACGAGATAATGCCGGTGGTTGTAATGCCGACTATGCCGCACGAGTCATAGCGAGCGAACTGTATTGCCTCTCCTGTGCTAGCGGCGCCCTGCTAACCTGGAATGAACACGAGATCTGTGGATACACAATAGTCCAAGTTGCTAGGGCCGCAGACAGTTCGATTGAAGCCTCCAAAATGAATGCGCTTGCAAGCATGCGCTCCTGCACGACGAGGCTGTTCGCCCCAAGGTCTTACACAGAGCCTCTGATGGTGGTTCTCGATACGGGGGGCTCCACAGTCAGTTCGGCATATCATGTCGCATGTTCCTGTTGATTGAGGCCTTTTCTTCACGCTCTCCATCACGCTCTACTCTTTGTGTAATACTTGTCCGTTCGCTCGGCCATCGACACTCGCTCCACACACCAGATCAAAGGGATATAGTCAATGCTATAACATCTTCTCTAATAATTAATACTCCACACTCTCACGACCTTCGCTACTAGATCTATCGATCTCTAATACCACTCGCCTACCAAAGTCTGCGAGTCACAGCGAACAAGCAACGCCTTATTCACGAACTTCGATATGCCTTCCACGACCATCATGAAGCAGGGCCTCGCCACTGCTGTTCTTGCATCTCTTCCTTTGGCTGCCCGTGCCCAAGGCACCACTCCTCCCAAGCTCACCGCAGCCTGTAACGATGTCGCTATCTTCATGGCCCGCGGCAATGACGCACCTTACAGCGATGGCCGCACCTCAGGTTTCAGAGATACCGTCTGCGCAAAATTCGAGGCTCAGGGAAACTCTTGCGATTACATGGATCTCGTCTTCGATGCCACTCTCGGCGTGGAGTTCTGCCCTACTATCCAGGACGGTGCCGTCAACGGCGTCAGGCAAATCACCGAGTACAACGCTCAATGTCCGGATACTTTGATCGTCGTCAACGGTTACTCGCAAGGTGCCATGGTTGCCGGTGCTACTCTGAGTGGCGGAGGCGCCGACGCCTGCGACGTTGACACCAAGACTACCGGCCTCGATGCCAACTCTCAAGCTGGTCAGGCAGTCAAGGCAGCCCTTCTCTGGGGTGACGTCAAGCACACTGCAAACCAGGTCTACAACGTCCTCGACGGAGCAGACAAGCAAGCCTGGGGCCGTACCGGCTCTAACCTTGAGCGTTTGAACACTTACTCCTCCGTCTTGAGGTCGTACTGTGCTGGTGGTGACCCAGTCTGCGCTGGTGGAAACGATGTAGCTCAACATCTGAACTACTTCGAGCTCTACACCGAGGAGGCATCAAACTGGATCGTGAGCAAGCTCACACCTCTCCTGGTCAAGCCCTCATCGGCCGCACCTGTCAGTTCGGCTACCCCAACCCCTACCCCTGAGGTCTCTTCAACCGTCGCACCGGTTGAGACCTCAAGCGCAGTCGTGGCACCAGCCTCCTCCGAGGCCTTGACTGTCAGCAAGGAAGCTGTTACCACCACCATGATGAAGCCGTCCACTATGATCTCTTCATACATCCCTGCCACCACTGCGAACGCTACTTCCACCGCAACCTCCGAGGCGGCTACCGCCTACCCCATCACCATTCCTCACAAGCACCTCAACACCACCGTCCCGTACGGCAACTCTACCATGCATGCTTCCAGCACCCCTATGAGCTCTGAGAAGCCCTACGAGACTGCATACCTGCCTGTCGAGCCGTCGCACGCGCCTGTTGAGGTGTCGCACGCTCCCGCTCCCGTCACCACCATGGCACCAGAGCACTCCGCTCCCGCTGCTGCTTGCCCACCAGCCACCGTCTACGAGACTGTCACCGAAGTTACGTACATGTACGTATAAACTGGCTCAAATTAGGAGAAGTACTTTGATGCGAGGATCACGAGAAATATGTTAGATTGGATGTATATATTACCATTCGCAAATGAAAAACATTCGTATAATCATGATAGAATTTGTTCTATATGGCCCTTATTTACATTTGATGATTCCTCCTTAGATGCCCAATGCCTTTGCGATGGCCTCTCCAACTGCTGTGGCACTGGCAGGGTTCTGACCAGTGATCAAGCGACCAGAGATGGCGACCTTCTCTCCCCAAGGCTCAGCTGCCTTGACGAACTTGCCTCCACTCGCCTTGTTCAGCGCATCCTCGGGCAGGAAGGGTACGACCTTGGAAAGGCCAACCTGCTCCTCCTCTGCGTTTGTGAATGCGGTAACCTCCTTGCCAGCGACGAGCAGACTTCCGTCGCTTAGCTTAGCATCGTAGAAGACAGCGGGCGCATGGCACACAGCCGAAACGATCTTGTCCGCCTCCCAGAATTCCCTGATGAGTTGTTGCGAGGTCGCGTCGTCGACGAGATCGAACATGGGTCCGTGACCGCCAACGTAGAAGATGGCGTCGAAGTCCTTCGCCTTGCCCTTGAAGTCGCTCAGCTTCTGGGTTGTCTTCCAGACCTGCTCGTTGTTCTTGTGGAAGTTGACGGATACATCGTCTTTCGCGGCTTCGACGGATGCGGGGTCGAGAGGTGATTCACCACCCTTGGGCGATGCTACCGTGATGTTGGCTTTGCTGTGGAGGACGTGGTAGGGGTGGGCGAGCTCGGGGAGGTACCAGCCGGTGGGCTTGCCGGTGTCGCCGAGCTTATTGTGCGAGGTGAGGACGAAGAGAATGTTTGGCTTGGACATTTTGAAGGTATGATGTGTTTGATTTGGTGATTTGGTGTGTAGAGTCGTTGTCCTTAAACCTTTTATGAAAAGTTCGATAGCTTTCCACTGGAGAGTACCTTGTTAATATGACGACATGCGGGGTAGCTGCAATGGAAAAGGCCCGATTACGCAGGGCACCGTCTATTAGCGTCAGGGACGTCATCTTGAAAATTCACTTCTCTTGTTCGCCGAGCACCAGGTACTTACAAATACTTCAGCATGTGATCTGCCAGTTCTGGCAGCTGTTGTGCGATATACTGCTCCACTCCCCGCCCAAATCTCGGTGCAGCTTACGTTTCGAGCGGAATCTGGACGACGATGACGTTTTGTCAGATCCAGCCTTTCTCTTTTTGTTCAGGACATCTTATTCGGGAGCATGCGCTGGTGAACCTTCGGCATGCCCGGGCGGCTTGGAGGTGTGTAGCATATCAACTGACGGTAAGGAGGCATCGCAGCCTGTCATTCGATATGGCGGAGCGCAGATCTTGTTCCAGAGTAAGCATCAGTCAGCATCGAGATATAACCTCTTTACTTGACGACTTAATGCCGAAGAATCTCCTAATGACGTCGCCGATTCTCTCTACTGGATTCGCTCTCTGGGGTCCCATTCTTTGCCTGCTACCAGGTGTCTGTTATGGGTTGTTCAACTCTTAGTTCGATGAGTCTGTTCGGCGATAGCGAGGGCAGCTGTTTTGCCGGCTAGACATGTGTATATACTGATCTCCTCCGCATACTTCGAAATCAGGTTGAAACTCACTATACGTCGTGAGATCCTTGGGTATGTCCTCGACTATAAGCGCATAATCAAACACCATGTCTGTAAGCTCTCTCGGCAACCTGAGTCCTACGATGTGATATACGTTTCTTTTGATTTCGGCATAAGCCTGGCGTTCAAAGATGTTGTAGGCTGCCACGAAGTCCATTTGGACGCAGCCGTCTCTGTCGAACCCATCACATCCGTCGTAGTTCTCGTCGAGGACCTCCCACTCATGATGTATAGGACATGCAAGCATATCTCTTGCCCATTCTCGGATCTCTCTACATGCCTCAGCGGCCTCGACAAATGGTATAGGCTTGCAATAGAATTCCTCGCCATGTGTGGGGGTCTTTCTTTTTTTCCAGCCGTAGAATGTTCGAAGCAAGAAATTATCGAGCTCCTGATTAGCAGAACAACCGAAGAACGCTTCGTCCCTGTGTAACAGCTCCGTTTTCGTGATTGTATACCAGTCGACTGCTATGCCCAAGCAACCGACAGCTTCATTGGCCAAGTGCTGCAACATGTGGAGCAGTCGTGGTAAAAAAATCCGGCGGAAGTATCTTCCCACTCGATAATTCTCTATGGGTCCGTTAAGGTGCCGCTTGTCCCAGGTGTTACCGCGATCCCACCTCACTTTGAGGAAGGATAACGTGGTCCTGAACCTATCGTAGACTACGAGTTCGAAAACTTCTGGGTCGACGGGACGGCGCAGATCTGTTAGAGCCTTGAACACCTCTTCGGGCATGTCTTGGGTCGGTTGTCAGTACGATGCAGACATTGGGAGGTGTTCACAAACCTTCCGAGAAGACGTCATACAACGTCCAATCCCGAAAACGCTGTCCTTCGTCAACGTATGGGCCCACTGGGAATTCAAACGTGAATTTATAGTTATCTAGGTTGCCCATAGTTTTGAAAAATGTTGCAGGATGGATGGAATGTAGCCCTGTAGAGGCGACGTGGTTTCGCACGCGCAGACGCGCAGCCATCGGGGCAACCTCGGGAAGCTTGGCGTCGGCCCTTCTTCTGGCCACAATCCCAGCGGCGCAGTCAACGCACCCACGGTCGACATAGCATAATTCATACTCGCTTTTACCGCAGATTTCAAGAACTTCATGAGTCATTTCTATCTTCTCGAATCATGTACATGCAGATGAGCTCTTGGATGCGCTCGCGGTTCCAGCCGAAAACTAACGGGCCATCGTCCTCTTCCTCAAGCATACCTAGGTACAGGTACCCATTCGGTGTCTTGACCGTCGTTGTGTGAGCGCAACAATCACACCGATCAGAAAGACCCCATAGGTTACCCTTCAGGTTCGGAGGTGTTATCTGCTTTCAGCGTTCACGGATGGTCAAGCTTCTGGTTGGCCAATTGTTCAGCTGGGTCGCGCAAATAGCCCGATTCGACATCGTGTGCATCTAGATTGCGGGACATGTGGATAAAGACAAGCTACTCAAACGGTGTGTACGTATCCGCGAAGGCCACAAAGACAAGTGTTAGGCATGTATAAAAGACGAGTAGTCATGAGCGGTTTACATGGTACCTACCTCCAGGTGGAGATCATAATTCGTCGCCATGACATCTTTCGACCACAAAACTGTCATCATCACGGGTTGCAGCAGCGGCATTGGCCTCGCGACGACCCTCCTCTTCCTATCACAGAAAGCCCGAGTCTTCGGCATCGATATGTCGCCGTTCGACCAAGCCCTTGATGTCACCCAGAAAGCGTTATTCACCTTCCACAAAACCGACCTTTGCGAGCCCGGCTCAGCAGAAGAGGCCATCGCTGCTTGCATCGCAAAGTACGGACCGAGGATCGACGTGCTGGCTAATGTTGCAGGCATCATGGACGGTTTTGGCAGCGCCGATACAGTCAAGGACTCGGAGTGGGAGCGCGTCCTAACCATCAACCTCACAGTACCGGTCAGAATGATGGCAGCTGTGTTGCCCAGCATGAAAGACCAGAAAAGTGGTGCCATCGTCAATGTTGGTAGTTATGCAAGTCTTTCCGGTGCAGTGGCAGGCATCGCATACACAGCCAGTAAGCATGGGCTTGTCGGTGCGACCAAGAACGTCGCGTGGCGCTTTCGTAAAGACGGTATCAGGTGTAATGCCGTACTCCCAGGTGGTGAGTACCACGTCTCGTTCTTGAACCCAGAAGATGTTGTTTTAACAAGAGTTTCAGCCGTGCCGACCAACATCCGCTCGTCGGTGGTGAAAGAGGACGTCGATCAGGCTGCAATGGAAATGTACAAGTAAGGGTTTACAGCCCTTGGTACCCTGTCATCGCTGACGAGCTAGCAGCCCCGTGCAGATGTTATGCCAAGGTCTCAAAAGAGACGATCTTCCATACGGATCAGTGGGCCCGAACGATATCGCACAGGGCATTGCATTCCTTGCGTCTGATGCTGCAAAGACGATCAGCGGTATCCTGATGCCGATAGATAACGCTTGGTCGACAATATAAGTTGTGATCGCAAGCTCGGTTAGCCAAAAGCGGGATGAGTTGACTTCGCTTTTTTATGATGGTCTCCGATCCTCGATCGGTCCCAGATGTGGATTGTTCAGGAGGGTTTCTCGGCGAGGAAGGTGACGTTACGAACATTGACTGGATAGCGTCATGACTCTAAGCGAGTAGATGGGTAGGTAAAACCATCACATGTCTTGCGTCGGTTCGATTCATACTACGAACTTCCTAATTGATCAAGCTGAAGTGTCTCATCGCATCTGTGCACCAGCTAAAATCCTCTGGATCCAGTCTCCTACGCAGCGATCCATTCCCCCACATCCTTACCAATCTCTTGCGCTCTCCTTCTTGTAGCTGGTCGATCCTCTTATGCGGCCAAGGAGAGTTTTCCTTGAATGAAAAGCTTTTCGTGTCCAGACTGAAAGCCTCCCTTAGACGAGCATTGCGTTCAGCATTGCGTTCGGCACGGGAGCCTCGCTGTTGAGAAGGTCCTGCGTGCTCTTGTGGGGTTTGTGTCGATTGTGTTGGTTGTGCCGACTGTGTGGCTTGTGCGGCTTCTTCAGCTTGTTCTCTTTGCATCCGCGCCCTTAGCTGGGGACCGGGTAGCATGTCAGGGTAGAAGAGCTTAAAAGCTTTTGCCAGAGGCGCCCAGTCTCCCTCAAGCAGTCTCCCTTGTGAAAGCTCATACGAAAGATATTTCAGGAAGTTCAAAGGGAGATCGCCGAACTTCCAACCAGCATAAAGCAGAGGCTTGTCTTCGGGTCGATATCTCTGAGGTATTTTCCACTTTCTGAGATCAATTTCCTCATCTTCCTCATTTGGCCCCGTCTCGCCTTGGCGGATGAAACGATTGACATCCTCGTCGGTAGCGTGGACCTCAGATTGTACATCTCCGAATTGTGTTTCTTCATTTGACTCAGGATTTGGTGTAGGCAAACGTGCAGCTGAAGCCAACTCAGTAGCCTTGGCCTTGCCTTTGTCCGCTCTCGATTGTAGTGGTGTTTCCGAAGGTGCAGTATGCGAGGCTCCGGACTGAATTGCTGCACGCGAAGATCCAGGAGATGACATTTCCGCAGCGGCTTCAGGAGGGGTAAGTGGAACGCCTCCATCAACGCTTACAGTGCTTAATGCAACACCGCCGTCAACGCTCTCTGGTACACGACCGTCAACGCTTTCCATGTCTACATCCCCGGTAAGGTCTACGACCTCTCGCTGCTTGGTGGTAGAAGCCGACCGCGGCTTCGAGTTACCGGAGGATGATTTTCGAGGATTGTTCTTGGACTTGTTCTTATTTGTTCGAGCGCCCGTGGTGGGCGACGGCACCTGTGTGCTGTTCGCGGTTGATGATTTTGGGAGAGGTCGGAGGAATTTTGTGAAGATGTCGCCACGTCGTTTCGCCATTGGAGGTGAGTCGTCCTCCATGTCGCGAGCGCGCTTTGCGGAAACGTGTGGTTGTTGCTGTTCGTTCACGTCATAGTATCTATAGGAAGAGATCAGCTGGAGACCTCCTGTAACTACTCGCAAGATGCTCACTCTACAGGATCGGAATACCCCAAGCGACCTTTCTCGGGTGGGTCGTGCCTGATTCTACTAGGAGTCCACTCGTCTACTGGCATGATGCTGTCTGGACAGGTTCAAAGCTGCAAGTGCTGTCTTCTTCACGGTTCGTGCGCGTTGGTACCTGAATGGAAGTCGTGGGTCCAACGGGAATGCAACGGGAAGAGGGGCGGGAACTTCGCGCTTTTGACGCGCGTTGAAACTCTCCACCGCCTCCTGATTTTGGGTTCTATCGAATGTCTGTGCGCGTGATGCAGATGGAACCGCGGATGCGGGGCTCTGCCGAACCAACGAGGTGGTGGGCCGTTCGTTGTGACATCTGCACGAGCGAGGATGTAGCTCCATCGCTTTCATCTGATCTCCGTTTTTTGACGTGGTGGCAACTTACAATTCGTCCGGTAGGTATGGCTATCGCCGTGTCGACGAGCTGTCGTTTTCTCGTGAGCGTCTCACCACGTCAGCGGCCCGCTTGACTAGTTAGTGGCTTGGCAGCCTTCTCTGTCCCGCGTCTGGAACGCCTCCAGGGCTGCATCGAGTCCTAGGAGTACACAGCGAAGGATTCCAACAAATCTTGCGAAGAGAGACATTTGCAGGCATTGCACAACACGACTCGCATTCTTCAAATCGCCTACCTCAAGGTTGAGGCGAGGAGTTGCCGTGTCAGCACCTCCCTTACCTTCTTTCGGCGGCGCGTGCATCATCTGCGACGCGACGGCGCTTTAACATCCGGAGATCATACCGTAGTGTTGCTTATCATGAACGAGAGTTTGAACCTCTAGTCAGCGCAGCGCCACAATATCGATATACTATGAAGACACGGTAGTCTCCTGGCATGAGAAATGAAAGGGTCATCGATCCTTTCGATCTGGCCGTGTGGCTGGCATTTGCTTTTGCTGCTCTGCAGTCTCGACGCGTCGAATCTTTTCAACAACATTGATCGCGCGCTCTACCTGAAGTGCAAGACCGAAGAACCCCCAGACAGACATCACGTGGTCAGAGGGCTGGATACTCCCGAGGTCAGCCTTTAGGTCAAGCTTTGCTGCGAACAATGTGGTTATAAGGTCGAACAACGCGTCAAGAGTGCCTGCTTCGTTCCTCACTCGTCTATTATATCTGCATATCGATATTATCGCGTTAATCGCATCCCATCCTATTGCTACCCCGAATACCTCCCAGGATCATCCACCAAATTCTTCAATCTCCACGATTTTGGATCGTCGCTGAGGCTTGTGCCCGGAAGTATGAGCTCTGAAAGGATTGGATGTGAAAACTTCAGGTCCGTTTCCTCCATTGGGTCAGTATCGATATCCGTCTCTTCGATCGCGACGTAACGCCCGACAGCGTTGCGAATGTCGGCACTCAATCTTTTCTTCATGACCATGAGCATGACACCGGCGATGAAGGCGCTTTTCGATTGCTCATATAGGCCATTGAAGCATAAGACCAGTGTAGATAAGAGGGATTTGCTGACTTCCGGGGGAGCGTTCCCTGGGTCTTGTTCGAGCTGTTCAAGAGGCTCCAGGGTTAGGTTGGCGAGCTGGGCCAGGAAGATCGTGAGTGTAGAGTCGTAGGCCTCGAAGCTATGACGCAGGTAGTAGATGCGCAAGATGCTTTCGAGTTGAACGCTGGCCTGGGTAACGATATGCTCTGCTGTGTTGCGCTGATGCTGCGTCAACAGCTGGACGCCATCATCTCCAGACGAGATCTGCGTCCGAAACAAAGTTATCAGAGCCCCATAGTATTCGCAGCTGCAGATCTTTTAGCTTTTATATCTTGAATATTTGGCATGGCCACTTACTGTAGCATCAGATGGGCAGGGTACACGATCGAGCGAGGCTGCAGTTGAACAGGCAAACCTCCAGACCAGGCTTCCAACTTTGCCTGTATATGCAGAGCTGCACCCCAAGGCATCTTCCTAGACTCTTTGGAGCGGCTAAAGCACATGACACCGATCTCATTCTGGATGACCCGCAACTCGCAAAGCGCTTTCATACCGCGGGCGAATTCGATTGAGTAGGTGTGCTCGTCCGGTAAATAACGCAGCGATATCTGGCCGTACCACTCCGATCTGCCATCGGCGTCAGGAAGCGGATCTGCAGGGATATCCAAGAGACACGGTGGCTTGAAATAGTAGTAGCTCTGTAATCTGACAGAAGTTAGCTGAGGAATGATACTAGGCAAGTATACTTACGATAGCCACGCGGAAAGGGCCCAAGCAGTGAACGATTTAGCGTGTTCGAGTTTATTGTCGTATGACCGAGGCGTGAAAAGACTCATTCGCTGTGCCATGCTGAGCGCTTTGAGCATGTAAGAGAACCCGACCCTATCATGACCAAAGTCATTCATCGTGGCGTTGATGAGGCAGCCAGCTTGGATCGTTGTAAGCTTGGGCTGCCCCTCTTCTAGTTCCCATAGTCGTTTTGCTTCAGCCAAGAATCGATATGGCAGACTATCTGGATTCCAGAACTTGGTCTGGTTGGCAAACAGTCGAGAACTAGCCTATGATACGTTAGTGAACCCCCATCCATGACAAAGATGTACACTTACTCACACAAGATTTGGCCAAAAGTGCATTGACGAGTAGAGGAGAGCAGAACTCAGCTCTTCTGGATACCATGTCTTCTAGAAAACAATTCTTGACGAAGAAGAACTGTCTTGGATATTGACTGACAAAGTAACTCTCAAGAATGTTGCGCAGCAATTCATCGTTGGAGCTAACACTAGTCCAGTGCGACGGTTGCGCATCCTCAAGTTGAGGGTCAACCAACTTGGCCGAGGAAAAAGGCCTCTCGTAATTGCTCTTCTGGAAAGCAAAATGAGTCTGGGAAGTGTCTGTGTCGTTATCGGATGCTTGGATTGCTTCCGATACCAGTGATTGAAAGTAAGCGCTCTCTCGAAGGCTTGGTGGAATCTCATCCAGATATGGAGAACGAAAACGCGACGACGTTTGGAGAATGTTGGAAGCCTCAGCAACCATCTTCCCTTCTTGTATGTGCTTCACGACGGCCTCTGCGTTTGCACCGGCTCGAATACGGCGGAAGACACTGGCTGCATCCACCTCCGGGAGGTTTTGTAGCATGTCGAATAGTTCTTCTTGGGCAGTACGTTTCTCTTTGAGCTGCTGATATCTACGCTTGAACTGGCGTGACTCGGTCTCGCCATGACGACATTCAGTCTCTCGCGTCACGCATGCAGTGCACTTAGGCTTCAATCCGTCGCACTGTTCCTAGGTCAGTCAAAGTACCAGAAAGTAGCATGTGTTTACTTGCTCTTGACTTACGAACTCGGCAAGCCTCGCAAGCGTTGACACGTGTAGCCTTTTGCCTCTCCCCAGATTCTCTGCGAACTCCACCGGCGGGTGCAGGTAGGAGTGAACGCAGTGGTGGTGGACTTCGTGAAGCTCCTTGGTCCATTCCTTTGAGACCGTGACGTCAGCCGCGTTGTTACTGCAAGATCAACTGCAAGGCTCCGGTCTATATAGACCGCTGCATGACTCTGTGAAAAACGCGTATCAGAAAAGTGCCACAGAAAGAAGCGTGAGTAGTTGGCATCTGACGGGTGGAGGAAGGCTCGAAGGGGAATTTCGTATCGAGGTTTCGTGGCGCCACTTCGGCGCTATTGCCGTCCCGCCAATCATTTGCCGCGTTGGGATCTTCGATCCTCTGCAGCGCGAGCACGTGTCGGCGTGCTAGCGCGTTTTGGCATCGAAATTGTTCAAGAGATCGAACATTCCGCCATCTGAATACATCAGTAACGTGATATCGGTGAGCCACTCCGTCTTCGAGCCACATCATGCAAGTAGCTCTCTTCGAAACCTGCCAATCAACCAGCAGAATCGGCTATGCATCCGGCCCCGAGGTCCAACACTGACCAGGTATCTCAATCCTCAGCCATAGTACCCAGTGTCGGCTTGTGTCTAGACGATGGCAATAGTGTGTTTCTCGCCTTCGCGGCGACTGCGCTCGTTCAGAAGAATTCTCACTTCAATGCCGAGATTCTGATCCGGCACCCAGTGGGGTCTATGCCGCATGGTAACACAATCGGCTCTGTTCTTTAAATCGGCTTTCTGGTTCGCATCGGATATCATACCGGCCTGTCCAAAAACGGATGCGAAAGGCCAGGAAAGGTCACTGTCGCGCCGTTCCTCGGCATGGACGTCCGAATTGGATCCATGGATGTGTCGTACTCATCGATACTGCACGCTCAGCCCTTCCATCCTCTCCTGCGGCGTGGCCAAACGACCACAAAGAAGAGAAAATCTTGACCGTCACACGCAAAGTAGCGTCTGATCTGACTAACATATTGGAGAATTTCCCCCGAACAGGCGCAGGTCTTGCCCCAGTCATACTCGGGAGAAGTCCAGCGATGATAGACGACTTCTTATTACTCTTCGAGGCCACAGTGGCGCGAGGCGGAGCAATGACATACTGATGCTTATCTCCATTTTGTATCGGTCTGGAAGTACTGCAGTGTGGACAATCAATTTAGGAGCAACCTGCTCAGCACTCGACCACTTTGACACTGACCACATCGTTCAAAAGCAACGCCACTACCTACCGACGTTTTGCTAATCTTTGTCTTTGGTGCCTTGCGCGGTTCGCTATCAAGGCTTTCGATTCCCCACTCTAATGACCACATATTTTTTGAGTCACGCATGGCAGTATATACAGACTTGAGATGGTCAATAGGCCCTCACGAGAAGGGCTCAACATGAAATCAATATTAAAAGACTACCCATAGAAGAATCCAGATATGCTGGCTTTTTGGGACAGTATGACGATCGAGTTACCTGGGCAATTCTCGTTCTGGTGACCTCAGCCAACCGCTCCGCGGAGGTCCGCTTGGTCGGATATTGCCCTTTATTTCCCCAACTAATGCGAAACTGTAGTACATTCTGGTAGCGACTACTCCACACAGGCTACGCTGCTGGAAGAAAAGTCCTTGTCGTGTTTACATGATCGCCTCTTAATACTTCTTGATAGGGGCACAGCGCTGGCACAACCGCGAGATATTCGTACGGGTAGGCGGCACCTGTTCACGCACAAGACTTCGGGAGTCTGGCTTGTGAGACCTCCCACAAATGGTGGCTCGATACCTAGGTAGCACGGCATTATCTTTGCTGCGCACTCTGTTTGCGTTACAATCCCAAAGTTGACATCATGCGAATATTGAAATTGCGAAATGCCATGAGTGACGTATCGGCGATGTGGCACCGCCCTGGAGTACCTAGGTACCTGTTCCAACCGACAAGCACGCGGGTTGTGCTCAATGATCAAGGCGCTGCGTTCCACCTCTACTCTCTTAAGTTTCTGGTCTTTGAAACTTAGTATGAACCATGCGAGGGTCTAAACATGACACCAGAGGTGGTGGGCACATGTGCGACTTCCCAAGGCAGCCCAAGATTTGTGATTTCTGGCTGCAAACCTACAGTAAAGAAATTTTTTTATGTACAAGGCCTAACCCATTATTTTCTGACATTTGGGCCTTCGGAACGTGGCTCGTGGGCAAAGTTTGTAGTGGTACGTGGGGAAAGAGATGGGGGATGCGCGCTCGCGACCCAGGTGGGATGACTCGGAAGATGCCGAGATTACCACGCGGTACGCACGCGCCGTACTTTGGACGCCTTTTCGTCGCAACCGCCGGCTTCCACGAGCTACACATCCTCGACGTGAGCTTCTTTGCCAATCAGTCACTGATACTTTCTTTCGATCATCGACCTCCAAGCATGCGCCTTGTCTCTCCTTCTACGTGTAAAATTTTGCGATCCGGGCCTTCAAAGCTAGCTATGGACCACATGCAGCAACGATAAGCAGTAAAGTCGCGCTATGGCTATAACGCCGACACTGCCTCTCACGTCGCCGACCCAAGGCACCAACACAACGTGATTCGTGTCTGGATGCCAGCCCCCGGCTTCTTGGGCACGGCATATCGTGGCTATGGCACGACTGTGATGATGGGTGGCCTAACCTCTCCACAGCGAAGGAAATTCGCCGAAGGGCTCACCGTTCTCCCATAATGCTGTAGACGATCACTTCCACGCCTGCGGTCGCACTCCACAAATCACTCCCATACTCAACACTTGCTCGATCCAACAGGCGGGGAGATGTTGTCGACAGTCTGTCTGCTCCTTGCAGCCACGCTTCCAGTGCGTGGCGCCTTCACCGAGTTTTTCTTTGCAGGCAACGGAGGAATTGGCGATTTGAAGGCATGTCCTAAGTCTTCATTCGGATGTGACGCGCCATCGGTCTGCGCCTTCGATGATCGGACAGAGAAGTATTATTGCTGCATACCAGGGAGTCCAGATGCGGTATGCTGGGGACCTAGTTCAGACTGCGATGGAGGAGACAAGAGAACGCCCTCGGGCAGTCAACAAGGTTGCTCGACTGGTATCAATGCCTTTTGCTGCTTAAAGTCAAGGTGAGCAAACCTATCAACGCCGCAATACTCAACGTTGCGCATGTAGCTGACAAGGCCTAGCGAGACGTGCACAGAAACAGCAGACCAGACGAACATCTGCTGGAGTAAACTGGACAACCCCCTCATTTCCCTCAACGCGACCGCCGTAAACGAAACAGCGCAGTCTCTCATATCCGCTCGCCCTTCGGCCCCTACGTACGCGATCAGCTTGTCTGCTCTACAAGCACTTTCGTCGACCACCGCGGCTGCGTCGTCAGCAACCCCGAGCGTATCCGGAGGACAACCCATCGCTACCACCTCGCCTTCTGGAGGAGCACAGGCAACGGCTGCCTCGCCCCCTTCACCGATCGCGACAGAGGACAACGCGTCGGGTCTCTCAGGTGGCGCGATAGGCGGCCTGGTCGGTGGAATAGTCGGTGGACTCGCTCTACTCGGTCTGGCTGGGTTTCTGTTCTGGCGCAGAAAGAAGAATGGCAAGCGAAATCCGTATGAGCCCGCCAATTCGCATACCGCGCCTACGTACCCAGCCGGTTCTCCTGGTGAGATGGACTCAAATCAGACGTATACCCAGGGACCGGCAACTGAGAAATACGGATATGCGGTCAGTCCTGTATCGGAAGTGCCTGCCGATAGGGCACCGGTAGAGCTACCAGCTGGCACGATATACAACAGATAGCAACCATATTTCAAATGAATTAGTGGGCGCAAAAGAGGAGGAGCGTATATAATATTACGATTTTGTCTTGAACCTACGATCCTACGCAGACCTGTATGATATATTACTATCAGTCAACCAGTCTCGTTTTTGTTGCTCGTGCAGGCAAGATCGCTCAGTGCAGTACCAGACAGCACCAAACCCCACAGGCCCGACACTAACGATGAAAGTTGGTTGCAAAATGTCGCGACATACCTAAATACAAGAACTGACGCCATGTTCTAATCATCACAATGGTATAGTCTGAAGATCTACCCTACCTCACACTATCAAACTCTCTATAAATCTCATCAAACTCCTTCATCAACGCCACTCCATCCATTATGCTTGGCCACTCTTTCCCTTCGACCACACTCCCCATTCCACCTTCAACCCATTGCGCGTACCTTTCGTACACCTCCGCCACGCTCCTCGCGCGAAGACCCAACTCTTTCTGCCGTTC